AGGGTGGCTTCATTTGGAATGCTTTTCATCAATTCTAACACAATTCTTAGAACTTTAAATTGGATTCTATCAAGTTTACGTAAATCGGTTATGTTAGCTGATCCATATACCAAACAGCAGTAATCTATAATGGATCTTCTATAGGCTCGATAAAAATTCAATGCAATGTTTTGATCTGCACCCCACGATCTCTTACACACCATTTTGAAAAAATTAATACCTTTTTCACAGCGACCAATTGTATAATTAATATGTTGAGTACAAAGCAATTTTCTGTCAAGTACGATACCAAGATATCTAAATTCCGAAACAATTGGAATATCATTGACATGTAAGGTTACAGCGTGATAATAAGGTTACAGCGTGACCATAATTTGTGCCAATCGTATGAGTACAAATTAAAAAGAAGTGGACGTATAACAGCTCCCTGGGGAATACCTTTCGATGTAATCTGGGGTAAAATAATATTGTGACGTACTCTTATCGATACAAGTCTGTCTTTGTATAGATTTGATAGTAAATGTGCTATCGATTTTAGAATGCCGAGAAACACAAGTTTAGGACAGAGTATATTTAAATCAATATTGTCATCTTCTTCTTCTTCTTCAGCCTGTGTTCGTCTACTGCTGGACATAGGCCTCTTCCATTTGCTTCCATCGATTTCTACTTTTGGCAATTCTCATCCACTGCTTGCCCGCGACTTGTTTGATATCGTCTGTCCACCTCTTCTGCGGTCTGCCTACTCCTCGCCTGTTCTCTCTTGGTCTCCAGTTTGTTAATCTTTGTGTCCATTTTTCGGGATTATCTCGGGCAACGTGTCCGACCCATTGCCACTTGAGCCTTGCAATACGTTCTGAGACATCAGTAATTTTTGTTCTTTCACGAATGACGTTATTTCGAATCCTGTCTCTCAAACTAATCCCTAGCATGGCCCTCTCCATTGCTCTTTGGGTTGTACTGAGCTGCTCTAAGGTTTTCTTTGTGAAGGCCATGGTCTTCAGTCCATATGTAGTTACAGGCAAGATACATTTGTCATAAACTCTACGTTTTAGACACATTGGTATATCTTTATTCTTCAAAATAAAGCTTAATATATTGTCATATTATGCAGTTTTTATGTCGATAAACAATGCCCCTGTTCTCATGGAATTAGAAAAACCAATTTGAACATCTTTAGTCAGACGAACTACTGCATCTGTGGTTCCATAGCCTTGTTTATATCCATATTGTGTTGCTGGTAGAATATTATGCCGCCTTAACCAAATTTTCATTCTTAATTTTAGAATTCTTTCAAATGTTTTAAAAATGCATGACAATAATGTTATTGGTATATATGATTCCGGATTATCTTTGTCTTTTCCCGGTTTCAGAAATAATATACCAAAGCAATCATTAAATTTGTAAGGAGATATTCCAGTTTGTACACCTATATTTTGTAACACAATACAAAAAATCTGATCTGGACCTGGACCTGTGTTTTTGGATATCTTGATAGCATATTCCAGTTCGAATGATGTTATTTCTTTTAATAAATAATGTTCTTCTGAATGTAAACTCATGTGAGGAATATGTTTGTCAACATAACTTCTGAAGAATATCTTCCTCAACTGCGGAAGGAGCATGTTTGATGTTTGTGTTTTTGTTGTTTAATTTGTTAGCCATTTTCCGTATTTGTGTTGATGGGCAACTAGAGTTACGACTAGAACAAAATTTAATCCATGTTGTTTTGGCTTTGTGTTGTAAACATTTTTTTAGTTGTAGCTTCTGTCTTTTTATATTCAAGAAAGTTATTCAATGTAGATGCGGTTTTGTATTTTTTAAGAGTATTCTTCTTACGCTGTAGCAGTGTATTACATTCATCATCCCACCAAATTGATTTTTGTCTATGTTTAGGACTGAAGGGTACGTTTTTGGGGATAGAAGCTTCGCTGCTTGTTTTAATTGCTTTATTAAGATTAAATGCCATTTCATTACAGTTTTCAGAGTATACAACATTAATTTGTTGTTTTTATATTTTGCCAAAATAAACGTTTTGAAGTAAGTGCTCTCAAAAATTCATTTAACTCTGTACAATATTAACAATATTATTTTTTTAAAGCTAAATTTGATGTCAAGTCACCTATAGAACAGATTTACTTGCCATTTTCACTGATTTTTGCTTACATTTTCGAGTCACATTACATTACCTGCAAAAAGAAAGAATATTTGAAGCTTTTATCTAATATTAAAATGACGTCTCCTATGGCAGTAAAAAAAATTAATAATGGCAAGACCCATTGTCACTGTCAAAACGTAAAAAACAATACCAGAGGTTAAAATTTCCCTTGTAACCCCCTGTATTTCAGCACCTAAAAACTTAAATGGATTATGTTCTGATATAAAAATTCATCAAATTATGTAGTTTCCTGTCATAGATCGTTGTCGATCGAATAAAACAACAACCTATACAAGGAAATTAATTAACTACAGAAATATAGATTTAATTATTAATGAGCAACTTGACACGAATAATTCCTTTCTTCGAAATATGTTCACCAAATACTAATCAATATGTGAATACATACAAAAATTCTTTATATGGAGCAATACGTTGAAATAAAAAATTTAAAAATGATAAATATTTGTGATGAAAATTACATATAATTAATATCAATTATACATACAGTAGTCTATCTTTATAACGATTCCTTATATAACGATAATTCCTCTATAACGATGAAAATAATAAACGTTGGTTGGTTCGTCATAAGGACAATGTATTAATTCTTTCTCTATACCGATATCGGTCTCTCTTTATTGCGATGATTTTCAGCGTTCAATAGTCGATGACAAATGTGTTATTTTGTTTAAAGTTCAGACTTCAGCGTGTCTTAGTGTGTCAACAGTCAAAATGTTTTCGAAAAATCCTAAAGTGCTCTCGGTGGAGGAAAAGTTATCGATAGCTCGAGCAATAGAAAAAGGTGAAAAGTAATTGGATGTTGTTCGCCGTACGGGACTATCTCAGTCAACTGTGGCTCGAATATGAAAGGACAGAAAAAGTGTCCATATTTTAACTTTCTGAGCTTGTGGTCAGGACAAAAGCTGAGTTATTTGCAATTTCAAGGCGTCTGAGGGTTGGCTGAGCAAGTGGAAGCTGCGGCACAAGATCTACAACCATGGGAAAATAAGTGGAGAGGCTCGCAATGTTAACAAAAACGTAACGGATGATTGGCTAGAAAAAGTGTGGCCTGGATATCGAACTTAAAGGGAAAAATTCTCCTGCTTGTAGACAATTGTCCTGCTCATCCTGTATTGTGCGACCTTGAATACATTGAACTTTGTTTTGTGCCAGCAAACATAACGGGTGTCCTTCAGCCCATGGACCAAAGTGTGATCAAGAGTTTGAAAAGCCATTACAGGAGAAGATTTTTGATGGAATTGGTTGAGAACAATGGCGATCTTAAACAAAACATTCTTGACGCCATCCTAATGATCAGTAAATCTTGGGACGGGGTGAGGAGCAATATAATAAAACATTCCTTCAAGCACGCAGGATTGTTGGAAGATCAAGGATTGACTGATGATGAAGATGACCTGCCATTAGATGTTTAAGCCAGACAGTTTGAACTTACTACCACCTACGGACCGAAAGAGCCAGACAGATTTTGAAGAAGTTGATGAAAATGTATCTGACTTTCTGACGAGGACATCCTACAAGCAGTTCGTGTAGAAGAAGAAAAGAGTGACTCGGAAGTGGAAGCAGAGCCAGAACCAGCTCCGAGCCCTCAGCAGGAAACCAACGTCACTCTTAAATCTATATAAAGTAGCGGGTTTTGCAGAACCCTCAACACACAGAGGCGTTGCAGAGCACCTAGAGAAAGTTAAACAGATCGCGGACGAGCGGCATGTCCTATACAAGGCTCGAACACCACGAAAGCGACTAAAATCCAGGAAAATATTCATTGGAACAGTGCAAAATGAATCGCCTGAGTATATTTCTCTTTCCCAGGTTCAATGGATTGGCCAGTCCCTAGACTTTAAAACTTGGAAAACTATAATTAGGATAAGAACGGGGGTCGCTCCAGTAAAATCAAACATGGCAAAATGGGGAAAAATGAACCAAGATGATGTGAACTGTGACTTTGAAGAAACACAGAATATGGAATATTAAATTTTAAATATGGAATATTAAATAAATGACATTAATGTTCGGACACGATAAAAAAAGCAGGCATTGAATGCGGCAAAAGTACTGCATCGATTCTTCATCCAACAGGAAGACGATATGAGTGTTGTGGAAGATTCTATGTGTCTTCAGGACATGGCCAGGTCAGTTCTGTGGAAAGGGAAAAGGAAACAGACCAAAGTGACAGACTTTTTTGGTAATGTAGGCTAAATATATTTTACAGTAGCATATTGTTTTGTTATTGTACAGTACATATGTTTTAATTGTACAGTCATTTTTTATACTGTATTGCTTATATTATTCTTTAATAAATCTATATGTTGTACAATAGAGTGTTAATTCATTTATATTTGTTTTGATAAAATTTTTAAATTAACCCTCCGGCAGGCGCGCCGCTGTGTACAGCACCGCAACTATCTGAAATGTTTGCGCACGCGTCTATGTCTGTTAGTTTTGGACCGTCTGTCTAGGTATTCCTTGCTGAGAGTATCTGGCAACCTATCAAGCACAAAGCGAGCTGTGTTATAAACTACTGTAGTACTTGCGTAGCTGCGAAACTAGTAAGTTCTGTTTAGCGGTGTGGAACACAGCGGTGCGCCTAGTCATGTAAGTACATTTTCGCATAACAATGAATTTTCTGTGAGCCTTTGTGTGTTTTTATTTCATAGGAATTGACATATTATGAGGTATATAACTGGAAATATTTATATCACTTTGTTCTTTAGCGTTATAGGCATGCTACAAACGTTTATTTTAGGTATATCTAAATATCATTTCATGTATCTGTAAATTTCAGAGGTTTCTGGATTTTATTTAGATTAGCATTTTTTTACAGGGACAGAAAACAAAACAGAACTCCTCTTACTCAAAAAGAGCTTGAATATTTGGCTGAAAATCTCTCAGAAATTGAAGATACGTGTGAATTTAGTGATGACAGCGAGGGCTCAGAAGAAAACATTATGGTCAGTGAGCATGACAGTGAATCTGAGGAGTCGATTGATTCAAATATGGACATTTCTGAGGAACAGCTTGATACACCAGGCGATATGGACATTTCTGAGGAACAGCCTGATACACCAGACGAGCAACCTCTTGCCGTGGATTTTCGATTTTATATTGGCAAAGACACTTCCACATTATGGATAAGTAACCCTTTAAGCCTTCCAAGTAAAACCAAATCAAAAAATATCGTTAAGGTTATTGCTAGGTCCACAAGTCAAGCTAGAGATACAAGAAATGAACTAGAAGCATTTCTTAAATTTATTGATACAGAAATATATAGACTTCATCGTAACATGCACAAATATATATATCGACAACAAAATATCTGTAAATTACAAGAGAGAGAGAGACTGTAAGAAAACAACAAGGAACGAAGTAATGGCTCTAATCGGTGTATTGTTTTTAATTGGTATAAAAAAGGGCAATCATGCTAATGTATTGGAGTTATGGTCTGACGATGGTACGGGCATGATGATCTTACGTGCTAATTTTGCCTATAAGAGATTTCTGTTTTTACTACGTAGCTTAAGATTGACGATATTACAACAAGAAATGAAAGAGTCATTTCTGACAAAATTACAGCTATTCGAAATATTTATTCCAAATTTACGAATAATTGTCAAAAGAACTATACCCTCGGCGAATGCATTACTATTGATGAAATGTTGCATCCGTTCCGGGGAAGATGTGGATTTGTTCAATATATTCCGAACAAGCCAGCAAAATATGGTTTGAAACTTTACGCAGTGTGCGATAGTCAAACATGGTACACGTGGAATTTTGAAATTTACTGTGGAACTCAGAAAACTGGCCCTTTCCAAGCATCAAATAAACCAACAGATATAGTTCAAAGATTAGTGCAACCCCTCCTGCACACTAATAGAAATCTTACGACGGATAATTATTACACCAGTTATCCATTGGCTAAATATTTACTAGAAAATGGGATGACTATTGTAGGGACCCTAAAAAAAATAAACCAGAAATTCCGCCAGAATTTGTCAATATAAAGAACCGCGAAATTGGTACAGCAATGTTTGGCTTTCAACACGATGTATCTCTTGTTTCATTCAAGCCAAAACCGAATAAATGTGTGCTATTATTATCAACGATGCATGATAATGGAAAAATTGATAAACTTACAAATAAACCTGAAATCATTGTGGATTACAATGCTACAAAAGGTGGGGTTGACACAGTCGACCAAATGTGTAGTTCGTATTCGACACAAAGGATAACACGAAGATGGCCACTAGCTTTATTCTTTAGAATACTTGATTTGGCTGGTATTAATTCCGAGATTATTTATAAAGCAAACAGACCTTTAGTAGAGCATCCAAGACGCAGAGTATATCTCACAAAATTAGCATTTGAACTAATGGAAAGCCACTTGAAGGAACGAGCTGAGATAAAGAGCCTTCCCAAGGATGTGCGCGAGTTTCTTTCGAAATATAGACTACAGCAACCACCTGCCCCCGAAGAGAGAAGAATTGGAGCTTGTAAATTATGTGGAAAACATAAAAATATAAAAGTTGCCACTAGATGTATCGAATGTAAGCATTTTGTATGCCAAAAACATGGTGTGAGGCAGATAACATGCAACAACTGCTCGGAGCTCAACAATTAGTTAAATATTTTTTTTTGTTTGTTAATGTATCTTGGTTCGGTTCCATATTTTTATTTTATTTTTTTATAGGATTCTACGTTAGAAACTCTCTTAATTTTTTACGAATGTCACTTTTTAATAATAAATGGTTATTTTGCGTATAACTAAGTTTTATATGAGAACTAGAGTTTGCGGTGTTCTACACAGCGTCGCGCCTGCTCGTGCAACTTAAAATGTCGCGCCTGCCGCAGGGTTAAAATAGGTAATTTAGGACAGTTATTTATTAATATTACAGTACCGAATTTTGTCTCTCTCTGTATAACGATCTCTCCTTATAACGATGAAAATTCCCGGTCCCTTGCATATCGTTATAGAGAGAGAGGACTGTAATTAAAATATTTAATTTGCTATTTTTTAGGTCTGCCATTGGTAAATTTCGGCATTACCTCTTCTGGATCTGGGTTTAACTCCCTCCCGGAGAGTGAAACGCTGTCTCCACTACCTATGGGACCACCTGCAATTCCACTGAATCGTTTCGATCCCTACTTCGATGCAATGACTCCCAGCAACGTCACGGCTCTCGTTGGGAAATCAGCCTATCTCAGTTGCCGAGTTAGAAATTTAGGAAACAAGACGGTGAGTTACACTTTTATTTACTGAGAATGTTGGAGTCGAAGGAAATAAAAATACTTGGTGGGCGATATAGTTCGCTTAGTATCGAGAAAATCGCATGTGGGAACCTTTTTACAGGCTTTCTACATAACCCTTTAAGGGTTTATTTTAGACGAATTTTTCCTCGAGGTTTTAATATTATATGATTACAGTTTTTAAATTATAGTAGTAATAATAGTCTGTGCGAGAAATGTTTACAATTAATTTATTTACACAACATGTAATTCATAAAGTGCATTAATTTTATCTCTATTAAATTGAACCATATAGGCGCATAATCATCATACAATTAATTAAACATTGTTGATTCCACAATTGTTTGAATCTCTTAGTGAACTCGATATTTACTTTAGCCCAGTCTGGTTATGCAAAAATCATCGAGTAGGCAAAATTTTTCGCAGATATTTGAAGCTTTTAAGCAGGGGGGGGGGGGGAGGTAAATATAACGATTGTTTTGTAAATAATTTCGATGAAAACTCAATATGCATTTAACTTCTGAGATAGTTTAAGTCTTAAAGAATCCTATGAAATATATTTAGCCTCAGGAATAAATAAATTAAATAACTTTTAAACTATTTGACCGATCAGGGGGAAATTTGGCACATATCTAAAAGACGGTAATCCCTCGATATTCTAATGTATTAGTAACATTTTATTTTATTAATTAAAAAAATTAATAAAATTTATAAATTAGTTTTTTTTGTTAATAAACTGTTTTTTTTTTCACAAGGGAAAAAAAATTGCTGTAGCTGGCTGTATACCATCATCATTAGCCATTTTGCGTCCACTGCTGAACAGAGGCCTCCCGTAAATAATTCCATTGCATCCGATCTTGAGCAACTTGAATCCAGTTAGACTGGATGCGCTTTAAATCGTCCGACCACCTTGTTGGAGGACGTCCTCGACTACGATAAGCATCGTGTCTAGGCCTCCACTCTAAAATTTTCTTTGTCCATCTTCCATCTCTGACCCTAGCAACATGTCCTGCCCAGTTCCATTTCAGGGTTGTAATTCTTTCAACTGCGTCCGTCACACCAGTTTTTCTCCTTACTATCTGACTCGAAACTCTGTCCCTGAGTGATACGCCCAACATTGACCTCTCCATCGCTCTCTGTGCCACTTGTATCTTATTAATTACTTTTCTGGTAAGTGTCAATGTTTCTGCTCCATATGTCAGAACTGGAAGTACACACTGATCAAAAACTTTTCTCTTCAAGCACATGGGAATAGCTGATTTAAAGACTTCCCTCAGTTTTCCGTAAGCTGCCCATGCCAGTCCTATTCTCCTTTTTAACTCTGTTGTTTGATTGTCTCTTCCCAATTTAATCTCGTGGCCCAGATACTTATAGGAATACGCTTGTTCAATTTGCGTGCCATTAGTGGAAATGTTTTTTGCCAGTACCAGGTTGGTCATGTATTGTGTTTTGGAAAAATTAATTTTAAGGCCAACTCGTGCACAAGAGCTCTGAAGGTCTTGAAGAAGTTGGCATGCATGATCTATCTGATCTGCAATAAGGACTATGTCGTCTGCAAACCTCAAGTTGTTCAAAAATTCCCCATTTATATTTAATCCAATATTTTCCCAATTATTTTTTCTCATAGCACTCTGTAATAGGGCGGTGAATAGTTTCGGAAAGATAGTGTCTCCTTGCCTAATACCTTTCTCCAAGAGAAATGTGTCTGTGTCACCATAGTACATTTTTACAGCAGCTGTTGCGCTATCATATATATTTCGAAGAAGAGTTGTGTACCTATGGTCAATACTGCACTCTGTAAGGGCTCTTAACATGGAACTATGCTGGACTGAGTCAAATGCTTTCTCAAAGTCTACAAATATTAATATCAATGGCTTGTTGTATTCTATAACTTTCTCTATCAAGGATTTTATTACTTGTAGGTGGTCATTTGTTCCAAAGCCACTCCTAAATCCGGCCTGCTCTAGAGGTTGATGAAAATCTAGCTTAGGTCCCAGTCTGTTAGTAATTATTCTCATAAAGAGTTTATATAAATGAGATAATAAGTTGATAGGTCTGTAGTTGCCAATTTCTGTTACATCTCCTTTTTTATGCAATATTATCGTAATGGCATTATTCCATTTTTCTGGCGTATTTCCTTTAAAGAGGCAGGCATTATAAAGGGTTTTTAAAGCCTTTATGACGCATTCGCCTCCTAGTTTTATCATTTCACTTACAATGCCATCTTCTCCAGGTGTTTTGTTGTTCTATATACCTTTTAATGCTGACTTAATTTCCTCTTCGGTTATATCTGGAAGTTCCTCTGACCCTTGATTTAGTATTGCTGGAATTTCTACTTCGGGAATGTGGTCATCTCGACTATATAATGTTCTATAGTACTCTTCGATGATTTTTAGTATCTCTTGTTGTTCATGTATGACATGTCCTTGATTATTTTTTAACTTATAAATATTCCTCGTTCCTATTTTCAACTTTCGTTTTAGAACTTTTAGGCTTTTGTTTTGTTCTACGGTATCAGTTATTTCCTTAGTGTTAAAGTTCCTTATGTCTTTCCTAATGGCTTTTGAAATGGTTTTGTTTAAAATTCCTTAGCTCTGCAATGTTCGTTGTATGCTTTTCTTTCATTTCCCTTCTTTTTTGCATTAGGTTTCTTGTGGTCTTCTGTGAGTTTTTCATTTTTTGTTGAGTGCTTGGCTTGGCACTTCTTCTGTGACTTCTTCAGGGCTTCTACCAATTTTTCGTTAAGCTGTTCAATACTGGTTTCATCTTGCAGGTCTGTAGATTACTCTTTATTTCTTCCTGGTATGCCCTGGTGTTAGTAATCGCAGTGAATGTTACATTA